AGAGCGTTTGTGAACAGCAGTTGTCAGTTCTTTCCACAGATTCTCGATTGGATTCAGGTCTGGACTTTGACTTGGCCATTCTAACACCTGGATATGTTTATTTGTGAACCATTCCATTGTAGATTTTGCTTTATGTTTTGGATCATTGTCTTGTTGGAAGACAAATCTCCATCCCAGTCTCAGGTCTTTTGCAGACTCCATCAGGTTTCCTTCCAGAATGGTCCTGTATTTGGCTCCATCCATCTTCCCATCAATTTTAACCATCTTCCCTGTCCCTGCTGAAGAAAAGCAGGCCCAAAACATGATGCTGCCACCACCATGTTTGACAATGGGGATGGTGTGTTCAGGGTGATGAGCTGTGTTGCTTTTACGCCAAACATAACGTTTTGCATTGTTGCCAAAAAGTTCGATTTTGGTTTCATCTGACCAGAGCACCTTCTTCCACATGTTTGGTGCGTCTCCCAGGTGGCTTGTGGCAAACTTTAAACAACACTTTTTATGGATATCTTTAAGAAATGGCTTTCTTCTTGCCACTCTTCCATAAAGGCCAGATTTGTGCAGTATACGACTGATTGTTGTCCTATGGACAGAGTCTCCCACCTCAGCTGTAGATCTCTGCAGTTCATCCAGAGTGATCATGGGCCTCTTGGCTGCATCTCTGATCAGTCTTCTCCTTGTATGAGCTGAAAGTTTAGAGGGACGGCCAGGTCTTGGTAGATTTGCAGTGGTCTGATACTCCTTCCATTTCAATATTATCACTTGCACAGTGCTCCTTGGGATGTTTAAAGCTTGGGAAATCTTTTTGTATCCAAATCCGGCTTTAAACTTCTCCACAACAGTATCTCGGACCTGCCTGGTGTGTTCCTTGTTCTTCATGATGCTCTCTGCGCTTTAAACAGACCTCTGAGACTATCACAGTGCAGGTGCATTTATACGGAGACTTGATTACACACAGGTGGATTCTATTTATCATCATTAGTCATTTAGGTCAACATTGGATCATTCAGAGATCCTCACTGAACTTCTGGAGAGAGTTTGCTGCACTGAAAGTAAAGGGGCTGAATAATTTTGCACGCCCAATTATTCAGTTTTTTATTTGTTAAAAAAGTTTGAAATATCCAATAAATTTCGTTCCACTTCATGATTGTGTCCCACTTGTTGTTGATTCTTCACAAAAAATTACAGTTTTATATCTTTATGTTTGAAGCCTGAAATGTGGCAAAAGGTCGCAAAGTTCAAGGGGGCCGAATACTTTCGCAAGGCACTGTATATATTGTAGTTTACCCTGAATCTCCCTTGTCCTTTTATTGATTAGTATTAATACAAATAAATTATTGGCAGAAGCAACGAACCAAAAATGAATCAACAGTATACCAGCGAATTCTTTTGGATTGTTAAGTCAATTAATGGTGGCACTTGTTGGTCTACAGTTAGTACGGCATGTTTTCAGACCCTTTCAAAATTTTCACATCTTGTTTCAGACTCATCTTTTGAGTTGAATGGATTCCATTCCTTTTTTCCCTCATCAATCTACTGTACATGCATTGTTTCAGTGAAAACAGGTTTTCAGAGTGCTGTGTTAATTTATTGAAAATAAAAGACTGAAATATCCCATTTACGAAAGTATGTTTTGACGCTTAAAATTGAACTCTGGTGCATCCTACTCCTATCAGTGATTGCTGAGATGCTTCTACAGCTCGATTAGAATCCACCTGTGGCTAATTTAATGCCTTGGATATAATTAGGAAGGGCACACACCTGTATATATAAGACCTGCGGGACAGGATTGTGTCAAAACACGGATCTGGGGAGGGAGGGATCAAAAACATCTCTGCAGCACTGAGAGTGCCCAAGAGCACAGCAGCCTCCATCATTCTCAAAAGGAAGAGATTTGGAACCACCAACGGCCTTCATAGATCTGAGGAATCAGGGATGAAGGGCCTTGGACAGACCAGTAGCCAAAAACACAAGGGTCACTATGAATGAGATCCAGAGCTCCTTTCTGGTGATGAGAGAACCTTACAGGAGGACAACCATCAGCACAGCATTACACCAACCAGGCCTCTACGGTAGAGTGGTCAGACAGAAGCCATTCCTCATTAAAAGACACATGACAGCCCACTGGGAGTTTGCCAGAGCACACCTGAAGGACTCTCAGACCATGAGAAGCAAAATCCTTTGGTGTAATGAAACAAAGATGGAACTATTCCCAACAGTGTGTGGAGAAAACCAGGCACTGAGCATCACCTCATTAATACCATCTGTACAGTCTGTACAGTCAAACACGTCAGTGGCAGCATCATGATGTGCAACTGGGACTGTGAGACTAGTCAGAATAGAGGGAAGGACGGATGCAGAAAAATATAAACTATAAAATATATATAAACCTTCTCCAGAGTGCTCGGGATCTCAGGCTTGGGTGACGGTTCACACTTTAGTAAAACAATGACCTGAAGCATACAGCCAAGAAAGCACAGCAGTGGCTTCAGGAAAACTGTGAAAGTCCGGGAGTGGCCCAGCCAGAATCCAGCCCTGATATGCAATCATATTACTTGTTGTTATACACTGTCTTTTAAGTGCATGCAAAATCTACCTGTGGAATGTGTGCGTGCTTGCACCTGTTTCCTAACACTAATGCTGACACCAACAATACCTTTAAATTTAGTTTTGATCTCTTTTGATTATTCTTATTTTAGGAGTGGGGACCTTCCACTCACCTAGAGTAAAATTTGTATTCAATATCTCTTGTATGCCAGAGACGGAAATGAAAAGTTCTGTTAACTAGAATTGAGCGCATGGGTGCTCAGGCTCACTGGAGCATATTGTAGGCCAAATTGTATTTAGTAAAAGAAGCCCAGCCTCTCTATGGTTTCTAATGGCCTACAAAAGACAAGCAAATCTCCACAGCCACCACTTACACTGTGCCCGTTACTGGAATCTTATAATGGAAACACTGAGGCAGTCAACTGGAGCAGTTTCTTGCTGTACCAATTTCTCCACTTTCCTGTTTGTGTAATCTTCTATGTGTGCATGAGAGAAAGAAGAAGAGTGAGAAAGAGGGAGGCAGAGAGGGTCTGTGTGTGCCTATGTATGTGTGTTCAGCACACAGAAATGCTGATGCCTCTCCGTTGGGCCTGTCAAGCACACTCACCATCAGTGTTTACAATGCAAAACGGGAGACAGTCCCTGTAGCTCCAGGAGGCCTGAAGGCAGGCAAGAGCAGGAGGAAGATGGGAGTCAGGGAGACATTGTTCTGTTTCGGAAAAGCCTGCAGGGCTGCGTGTTTGAACACTTCTGAAGGACGTACTCACCTCGTGGTGCAGTCAGAGTGTATGGTGTCATCCGTACAGACTGATTCATGCTGTGACAGAAACTCCTCTGTTAGACCTGCTCACAGTACCTGTGGTTACCCTCAAGCAAATCTGATCGTCTCCACCAAGGAGGTTGTGCTTTTTGTTCTGTGTGTGTGTTGGTTAGCAGGAATCCAGACGAACGGCGGGATAGATCATCAGAGTACTTGGTACAGACACTGGTGGGGACCAACCCTAGAAGTGATTGGATTTTGGCTGAAAAGGTCAAGGTCACACACACACACACACACAATGTGTTTTCATCCCTTGTGGGGACTTTACATTGACTTACATTCATTTCCTGTAGACTTATCCTAACCTTAACCATAACCACTACGTGCCTAACACCTAACCCTGATCCTATACTTAATCTAACCCTAACCTCATCCTAACCCTAAACCATGTTGCCATCCTAAAATTCAGTGATTTCCTTGTGGGGACTAGCTTCTGGTCCCCACAAGGATGGCCGATGGCCGAGTCCCCACTGTGTGCGTGTTTTAACAGGTTTCAGTCCTCATGATGTAGGTAATACAAAGGCACACACACACACAAACAAAATAAAAAAAATAATAAATCACAAAAAACCATCTTTAACATGCAGAAAAATGTCATATCTCTGTCAAAGGTTATTGAAATCATTTGAAATTTAACACACATATGCAGAGTGGCAATGTCTAATATCAGACCAATTTTCATCCGGATCTGATCCAGATCCTGGATCTGACGGCCATTTAAATTTAACATTTACAACCTCATTTAACTCATATTTTCTGCCATAACTTGACCTATAATGAAGAGAAAACCCTGAAATGTTCAGGTAAGATGCACAGTCCAACTGCCTATCATACCCCAAAAATGATCTGGATCCAATGTGGATCAAGAATATACATATCTATAATATTACTGTTAGATGAAAAGATTAGGAAAATCTACTTTTTGCTCCACCGCACCTGGCCTTATTGTAATTGCTTTGCATCTTGAGATTAATTATACTAAACGTAACCTAATCAACAAATAAATTATGATCTATTAGAAAATATAAGAAAAGAAAGACTGTGAACCCCCAGGGAGAAATTCACAAGATAACCAGCAGTATGTAAAGTAATTACAATCACAGATACCAGCTTCACCATTAAAGTAATACACACATGAATGCATCAGTAACTACTGTACAATCAGCATAGGTTGCTTGGGGTGGTAGGTTTGCCTGAGAGTTTAATTCAGGGCAAAAAATAGCCTCCACTAGAAACACTGCTACTGGCTCTACCCACAGCTTTGACTGAATCAAGTCACCCCTGTCATTTTAAATTAGACCTATATGCTGAAATGTGCTCTATCTACATTACAGTTTTCCGGGACACCTGTAAACATCTGTGATTAAGTGATCAGGGACATTAAAAGTCATATCCAAGGCATAAGAGCTCGAAAACAAAAATCTCTCAAACATCTCCCAGCTAATGTGAGTGGGCACAGTCCACTTCACTTTCCAGTTTCCTATTCAGCACCAAGATGATGGGTAATTCAGTGCAGGCCGCTCACCGCATCTCATCCGCCCATCCCCTCCTGTCAGCTGCCACTTGCAGTAGTGGTGATGCTGCTCTCTGGTGTGTAGAGGAGGAGAGAGAGCGTGTCCGCTGCCCAATGACAGCGCAGGATGCTGAGAGAGGCTGCTGGGGTGAATGGAGGCGACAAGATGCCGTCTAGAGCAGCGAAGGAGAGGAAATAACATCGATAAAGGTATGTTCGTTTTCTTTAATTTCACACCCAGCCATTCCGCGTTTTCTTGTAGAAGTAAAATGTCTCTTAAAATGTCTCTTCGTTTTTCTTGAGCATTTTGTGAGCGACTTACCGGGAAAAGGCACAGGCTATGCACGTTTTAAAAAAAATCCTTCTCATTGTCGTTGACTGCATAAACCCAGCCAGTCAGTGCTCACTAGATACCTGACGCTTTGCATATTAAAGCCGGTTAAACGATAGAGCAGTGTCGTTTCAAAATAAAGGTTTCAGCTGGCGTCTCTACGGAGGGTTAGACCAAAATGTCATTAGTGTATTCAGGTGCTCGACGCGCACCGTGCTGGAACAGTCGACAATGTAGGCCCGGTGAGCTGTCATTTGCTCGGTCGTGCCATCCTATGCTGCATCAAGTGTAATCCAGCCAGCACATCAGGTTAGAAGAAATCTAACATAATTGATTTAATCATCTGTCTGTGGACGAGTCACGCGTTTTTCCATACACTGTCCAATTACAGTAGGAGCCATTTCTGGCACGATTACGTGGAGGGGCAGACGAACCATCTGGAGGACGTTTGCATGTTCTCATCAAATCCACCGAGCGCTGAAGTCAGTGGGAGGTATTGGGGGGGTTAAGGCTCTGTAGGTGATGCATGTGTTGCACTAGATCCAGTGGCACTGAACCGGCTGCTTCTTCCGTTCATATGGAATTCCTGTACTGTCAACCCACTGTAAAGGCTATTTATCTTTGTCTGCCCTCGACGTGCGCTCTGACCTTAAAAGCACATTTTTGCAACCCTGGTTTGAACTAGTAGTCTCATTCACTACAGCTTATTGTGCTATCAGAGCAAGATGCCTGCACACTGGCTTTGAAAATGTCATAATTCTTGATGATGATGATTCTTCCTGATTCCACTGATGTACTGGGCATGGCCTATGGTGAAATCTTTGTTTCAGAACGTTTCTATCCTCTCTGCTGCTTCCACACTGCTGCTCCTTGAATTACCAGTGATTATTTCTTCAGTGCCCTATTTGTTGGCACGTTTTTTGGGTCCTAACTGCTTACAGCAGAAGCATGATGTCAGATGACAGGTCGGAAATAAATGACAATGACACCACTGTCATTATTTGACAAAAGATGCATAAAAAAAACAGCCAACATACAGCTCTCAGGTCTGATGTCATTCTGATATTTTATATAGCTTCTGTCGTTTTTTATTTTTGAATATTCTTTCTAAAGTTGGGGTGTGGGTGGAGATAACAATTTGCCTTGTTAGCTGGCACCCCCTGTGGTACTCCAGTAGTCACTGTTTCTGCAGTAATACTCTCTTATTGTGCTTTTCATTTCCCTTTGCATCCCCAGCAATGTGCTTAGATGCTGTGTGGATCTGGGTGAAATCCGTCAGCATAGATAAGAAACTATACTATAGACCAAGGTCAGCGGAAGAATGAAAGGATCATGCTAATGTTGTCTGCACTGAAGATAAACTGGTCTAGTGTCTGTCAGGCATTTATAGATAATTTATGTGACATTTTAGATGTGAACTGTACCAGTGCTGAAATGATTAGTCATCTCATTGATTAGTCAAGCACCAGAAAATTTACAACAATTTTTATCGTCATTTAAAACATTTAAAGTGTTTAGCAAACAAAAACATCAAGTATTGCTTGATTTCAGCTCCCAAAATGAGAACATTTGCAGCTTTTCTCAGTTTTATAATACTGCAAACGCCTTTGGGTTCCAGGCTGCTAGAAACAAATAGGCAATTGTGGCCTTACACTGCAAACTACATCTTATTTGATTCTTAACTGACTCTCCAAGACTCCAGGCCGTCAATTTGCAAAATCTGACCAGACCAGTTTGATTAAAGTGTATAGAAACTGGATGGACAGAGGCACCACACCACACAGTACAAAGGTGCCTGCACCAGCAGTGAAGTGAGACCTTCAGAGGTGCAGGTTCGATGTGTTTTTCTCTGTAGTGGCGAGCACAGTGGTCCTCATAACAATGCATTATTCCTCTGTTTGGTCCAAGTCATAATTTCTTTATAGAAAATGTTTCTGGCATATGTGCCTTTGTTAAGTGGTAGCTGACAGTGACAAGGGCGTGCAACAGAGGTCCCCGGCTGGTATCAAAGTGAGTAGGTTGTGCTCACGTGATGCACATCCCAAAACACTGGTCCACCAGCATGGCACAGTTGGCACAATTTTTCAAACAGTTCCCCTCATCACTCCACTTAGTTTTCTGTAATTTGCAATTAGAAAGGCAGGTGCATAAGTGAATCATAGGAAAAAACTGAATGCTGCACTTGAATGTGTCAGTTTTAATAAGTGGGCTGACAAACATGAGCTTTCAAAACAGTTGAAGATAACATTAAGAGGTGCAAAGGAGCCAGAGTCACTTCCTGAATTACTTGTGGATCAGTGGTGCAGGGGCGGATCTGGAAAATTTTGGACAGGGTGGCTAGGTTGGGGCACAGAGTCAAAGAGAGATCACAGATCTCAAATACATCCATTCATCCATTATCTATACCGCTTATCCTGAACAGGGTCATGCGGGGGGCTTGGGCTGATCCCAGCTGACATTGGGCAAGAGGCAGGTTCCACCATGGACAGGTTGCCAGTCTATCACAAGCCTGACACATGTAGACAGAAAATCACACACAACCAGACTCACTCCTACAAGCAATTTAGAGACACCAATCAACCTAAGCTGCACGTCTTTGGACTGTGGGAAGAAGCTGGGAACCCATGCAGGCACAGGGAGGACATACAAACTCCACACAGAAAGGCACCAGGTCGGCCAGGGCTTGAACCTGGAACCTTCTTGCTGTGAGGAGATAGTGCCACAAAAAGTAGATTAAACCCCTAGTTCTATGAAAGAAAGAAAAAATGCACATTATTGAGAATCTAATTATTTAATCTATGCAAAAATGAGTCACACAGTGCTTTCTTTAGCTAACTTTGGCTGTGCTCCTCCTGACATGGGACATGATGCTACACAGCTGCTAAAGCGAATCATGTACTTCACAACAACACAGAGGAATGAATGCAAATATCATGGTGCATGCATGTAGGGGTGCATGATCAATCATTTTATAACATGATTTAGATCCCTTTGTGACCTCAGTCTCAGGTGACAATGATTCTGCCGTCTTTGCATTAGCATGGAGATGGCTGTCATCAAACCAAGCGCTCCCTTTTCCCTCGCAAAGCTGCGTTAACCAATGGCCCCAACTAATAACCACAAAGTGATTTATTTATGCCTCAACTGCCATTCAGCATAAGGTATACGGGGCAGGCAGCGGAATGTTAGAAAAATTGTTGCAGGAAGGTAAAGAATATCTTTCACTGTGTCAAACATGTTGCTCACCTCCATTTGCTCAGCGTGTTGTTTTCTGGTCCCGTAGCATGGAGCCTCTTCTTCACCGTTTTGGGGGGTTTGTGCTACCAGTCCCACTCCACCAACTAAGGGGTCTTCCACGTTCACCACGCCGGAGGCCACCGGGTCCTCTTCGGCAGGCCACGGCTGCCCGGTTAGCCTTCCTTTCACGAGGACTCAGCCTCTCCCCTGCAATTCTTTTCACTGGACATCAGGCTACCCGCTAACTTTCATTCCTTTCTTTTTCGAGTGGCCACTATCCGATTCGAGGTCCCCAGCCTTGGCGGGATTCCCTAGCCCGCGTCAGCTTACGACGCAGACTTCACTTCGGCTTCGCCTACTTCCTCATTGGGCCGCGTCAGCAGATGACGCAGAGGGACTCCCCACTTTGGCTCCGCCCACTCACTCTTTGGTCCTCCTGGCTGACTCCAGTGCATACAAACAGCCTCCTTCTCTGTTCCAGCCAACGCCAATCACTTCACTGAGTCTTCTTCATCTCTCAGAAGGTTTTGGGGGTCTACAAGTGTCCGAGAGCGGGCCCCAAATCATCAAGTTCACAAATATTCTCCATCCTTATACTTCCATTCGTACTTGGCGAGGGCAGGTCCCTGCTCGTGAAATAAAAAAAAAGTCCACTGTTTATAGACTATAGTATGAATTCCAGATCTTAATGCATGGTATGCAAAAGACCTTAAACAGAATCATAGTTTGATTTGTCTGCCATTTCATATTTGTACTGCCCCATCCCATTTTTAGATGCCTGTTACTTAATTTAACTAACAGAGATGACACTGTCCTGCCTGACCTTCTCTGCCAAGCGATTTGCCGCTGGTCAAGTATTTCCTCACAGATGATGCTTCAGTTGAGGGTTCCTGTCATCCAAAATTGTAGGAGAACTGTTGACCTGATCTACATTTAGCCACAGTTTCTTTCCTCACCTTCTGGAAACTTAGGCTATCATTATGTCAGACAACTGAAGTGCCTTATCTGTGTTAGCCAAGGCATAGTCACCATGGCAAATGGGTGTGAGCAGCTAGTGTCACTAGAAAAGGGAAAGTATCATAGTTCACCTGAAGAGAGTTTTTTTTCTCACAGTATTACACTGTCTCCAGACAACCTGGGATAGCCTGAGTCAGTGTTTTTGTTTTGAACATCTGTTGTTAAACAGCTTTCTGTATTTTACATTGCAAATATCCACCATAGTCCAATAATGACACTCATTATCTGCCATCTTTAATAACTTATAGACTATGATATATCTTGCAATATTTTAAAGCTTGAGCTGGCACAAAATGGCACAGCCATTATTGTGCCATTAAAACTAAGCCTCCCTTATTCTTTTGTCCTTGTTTGCCAGAAGGACCTGCGCTATTTTAAAATATGAGCTTTTTAATTAAAACTGTGGCTGCAAACGCTGATTAAGTTTTAGTCCCACAATATGGCATGCCTGTTATGATCATCATAATGATTTGAATGTAATGAGAATCTTATGAATCTAAAAGGGTAAATGTATGTCATGTGATTTGTAACTGTCTGAGTACTGACTATTGAGAGCCTTTAGAACTTATAAAAACACACATCTGTTGTTGTCGCTTTGAGCGAGCCTGAGGAAGCTATGAAGATCAGATGCACAACCCTGCTGTACACTGGAATTTGTATGTTTTGTAGATCATAATGGTTTGTCGTAAGTTAGCTAATCAAAATATAATTAATAAAAAATATGATCAGTAATATACCAGTATAAAGGTAGGCTCAGCCCAGAACTCTACAGTGGTTACTAAATCATTGCAAGTCTCTTGTCTGTTTTAAATTGTACGTTTTATGTGTTTATGAGACAGTACAATGCAGCAGAGGTTTGCTTTATGCCATATACCATAGCATGATTATGTTAACTCTCTGTCATAATGGATTTGGATTTTTATTGCTTTGCATTACAGTTATAGCATTGACTGTATTGCTTGCTGCAGCACAATGCTCTTTTTGCTTTTTTCCACTTTGAACTATAACAGTGTACACTGCTGGGTTTCTGTGTACATGCAGTATGTTAAGAGGTAACATATTAATCAGCCCACTTTTCAAACATCACTGTCTTCTCCACAGAAAATATTAGAAAAGCCAAACAATTAGGGAACCAAAGGGTTAATATAATACTCACATAAATGGCTAAATTGGTCTTTTACTGGATGCACAGAATCTGAATATATCTGAATGATTAAACTTCAGTTTGTGTGTTTTTGCATGCGATTCATTTAACAAGAACATCCTCTTTAACATTTAATGCATGTTGTCAGTAGACCATGGATATCAATAGTTTCCCTGACTTAAAGCAGTTGGCCATGACTGATCAGAACTGACAAATGTGATTTAAGATATACAGTACCTCTGTAGCCTGTGTTTTAAATAGTCTGTTATTCAGTTGATTTATCATGAGGTTGTAAAGCTGTTCTGTCTTTCCCGGCTGTATCAGCAGCATTAAGGGGATTTGGATAAACATTGGCCAGTGAGAAGTCCAGGTTGATGCTGGGAAATTCCCGAGGGCTATTTGAAATAGGAGCCACATAAAATGTGTCAGTTTGTTGCTGAAGTTGACTAATAGTCTTAAAACTAACAGAACTATTTTGTTTTACATCTACAGTGTAGAATTTTGCAAACATTTTCTTGGTGTTGGGGGGATTGTAGCTTTTATTGAGTCTTTTATCTGACAAACAGTTGTTATGCATCTAACAGGTGCTTCTCTCCTGTTTCCTCAGATCTGACTTTGATGTGCTCCACCTTTTAAGGCATGAAATAAGTCACCCATGTGTGGTTCACAAAGTGAAAGCATTCTCATTTCAACGTACCCCTGTTAAGGACCCTCTGGTGGCTTCGATTCACAGGACATGTACGGCAGTGCCAGAGCTGTAGGCCATATAGAGAGCAGCCCCGCACGGTCCCCGCGCCTGCCAAGGTCCCCCAGACTGGGCCATCGGAGGGCCAACAGTAGGGGCGGGGGTAGTGCGGGGGGCAAGACGCTCTCCATGGAGAACATCCAATCCCTCAATGCTGCCTATGCTACGTCGGGGCCCATGTACTTCAGTGACCACGAGGGCGTGGGCTCCACTGCCACCTACCCCAAAGGCACTATGACTCTGGGTCGCGCCACCAGCCGGGCCATGTACGGGGGACGCGTCACAGCCATGGGCAGCAGCCCCAACATTGCTTCAGTGGGGCTGCCTCATGCTGACCTTCTGTCTTACAGTGACCTGGGCTCCCTCTCCATGCTGCATCCCCACCACCACCAGGGGGTTCCCTCGGCCCTGCTGAGGCAGGCAGTGCGAAGCAGTGGGGGGGAGCTGCTGGAGATGCAGGCCCAGTTCAGGGAGATGCAGAGGGAGAATGAGATGCTGCGCAGGGAGCTTGACCTGAAGGACAGTAAATTGGGATCTTCCACCAACAGCATCAAGAGCTTCTGGAGTCCTGAGCTGAAGAAGGAGAGGATAATGAGGAAAGAAGAGGCGGCACGCACATCAATCCTTAAAGAGCAGATGAGAGTCACTCATGAGGAGAACCAGGTGAGACCAGCTGTCACAACCCACCCATTACTGCAGTATATCTTATTTACTCCCAGTCTGATGCCTTTCTCTTTTATCAAGTATTGTCTGTGACACATATGATCTCTGTCTGTGGTTTTGCCATTCTCTTTTCTGCTGTAGGTTACTGCCATCCTCAGTCCAAGAATTCAGAGTATTATTGCAGTCAGTCATGTTGTTCAGTACTTGTGGAAACCTTTCTGGAAAGAGTTCCTGGTGTACATAAATATTTAACACACTCTCCTTGCCTACTAATCAAGTACATAATCAATGTCAGAGAGTCTACTTGTGCCACAGGAAATACACAATTCTTTAATCCTATTTTTTATAATCTAGTTTTAGAAATCTGACCTAATATACTGAGCCTCATGCTATGAAATCATTGTGCGCTTCACAATTTTAACAACACAAACCTGCTCTCAGTTGCTTAATAAATAAGTGAAAAGCATGATAAGACTGCCAGTGAGTGAACTGTAGCTTCTGTATACAGCTTGGCTACAGCATCACTTCACCTTTTTGTATTTTCAGAGGTTATTATCAGATTGGCTCTAGAGATTATGATGTCAAAAAGTATTTGCTTGCCTTCTTGTGGGGGTGTAGACATGGCCCAGTTAAATCAGTTACTGACAAGTGTAGGCATAAGACCCAGAGACAAATGTCAAGGACATTTACTGTCTCTTTCACTCTTATTTTCCACCATCTTTCCTTCACATACTCTAATTTTGAGCATCTTTCACTGTCTATCTCTGTTCATCTCGCCCGTAAAAGTACACAACACAGAGCTAGATTCTGGAATAGGTCAGCATGTTGCTTGATTGGCTAGATCGGACTCTACAGTGTTTGTTTTTGTTCTTTCTGAGGCTGTGTATGATGCCTCAAGTAATGTAAAGCCTGAATTTTGCCAGCTGGTTGTGGTCTCTGTGCCAGTCTGTTTTGATATCCTGTCTGTTTGGTTGAGTGATGTGTTCAGACACAGAGAAGCCATTAGGTCAGTCGTTACTAAGAGAGGCAGACAGCTGCCACTCCGCCCTTCAAGGTCACATCAGGATGTGTGACTCTTAAATGAGAGTCGTGTCTGCATGCACATGGGCCTGGATTTGTGTCAGTCCCTTCTAAAATGGATGGTTTTGGGCTCACCTGATTTTGCTTGAGTTTAAAGAGGCTGAAGTTTGCCAGCTTGTCCCTGAAGCAGTACCACACTGTTAAAATGAAGGATGTCAAGCTCTCTGCCTCACAGTTGGATGGTTTTACCTGCTGGCAGACCCTAGAGGGGAACCAGAGGCACTTTGGTTCTATCTTTATGTTTCAGGAAAATGTACAGGGGCAATACTTTGAAGGAGAATGTGTCTGTTCAAGCTACACCATCAGTGCCAATGAAAGGGTCCAAGCTGTTCCCCATTTCACCTTCTTCTTAAGTTCAGTGTGATGAAACACTCAGTGTGCATCCTTCTGTGTATTTTTAGCTTGGCTACTCTACATACATGGTGGAAACTGAATGTGTCCAGCAGAATATGAAAACAGTGCAGTGCGGGTTTTCATGCCTTTGTGCTTGAAGCAAAGAAAAGACTCTCGCGTATTCCTCAGCCTTGTCGATCAGTGTTTTCTCTGACTCTGCACTTAAAGATATTTATACCCCTCCTGGAGAGGTTCATTAATGAAGTATGTCAGCTAATAAGAGGCAGATGTGCCTTGTTACTATAATTGGCCTTTTCAATCTTGATTTCTGGGGCTGTGAGGTATCCTTATGTAAGTGTATACTTAGAATGGGAAGGTTTGGTCACACCCATTGGGCTTGTTGAGGGACTGACTGGGGAGCAAATTGCCTCATTAATAAAGGAGTAATTTCAGGCCAATCATTACATCTGTCTTGTACCACCTTTACAATTGCATCAGGTACCTCAGGCCTCTATTAGCTTGAGCAAATGTCTTGCATTATTTATCTTGTGAAAAATAAGATCTGGGAATATGTGCTTCTGTTTTTTATCGTTTCTTAGGAAAAGCAAAAACCCACTGAAGCATTAGAGTCTGGTTGCAAAGCACAGGCTTCACTGTGAGTGAAATATCAACCATAGCCTGCAGAGCTTTAATCAAGACAGTCGATGGCTGTGACTAGAGGTAATGATTAGTCCAGGACTGTTTTGTGTGGTGCATTTTTAATAAACTATGCAACTGGCTCAGGCTGGTAGAGTATACCACAAAACTGTGTGACTTGCATTCAGCAGAATTTTTTTTGTTGTGCTGAAGCTGAGCGAGGGCTGCTGAAGGCAAGTGTGTGAGCTAGAGCATACTATATCTGACTGAGTCATGTCCACTGCTGCTCAGCCATCCAGTCGGCCCTCATCAACACAGCCCCCAAAATGGAGGCTGAGCTTCCACCCTGCTCTGTCTGGGCATACATACAGTGCCTAGGATGTGGATTTTTTTTTTATTCTTTAATTTAAGCTGCTAAGTGTGAATATATGAGCAGGCTGGGACTGTTGTCTTGCCAAAATGTTGTGATTTGGGTGTTTTTGGGGCACACTGTACTGTAAATAAGCACATATAGTTGCATGCATTTATATTCTGTACAGTCTGTGGTGAGTACTGAATGTGTGTGGATGGGGTGTTTGCATTTTGCATTGTATGTTTCCTCCCTTTGTAGCTGTGTCAGCTGCTAAGGTGTGTGCAGAGGTTTAGTCATCATAAGCCGTCTGTATTGTGTGTGGGAGCGGTATAGTCACAATTATTTGTTTGCACACATGATTCACAGTCATGGTGGTGGAACAGATGTGCACACTACACAGTATACATTGATGAGCTGAATTCAAACTCAACATGACGAGCAAAGGTATTGATGCGTTTGGTGATGTCATGACATGGTGAGCTCTTGTGGACACATGAAGCATCATGTGAACAGCTCATGAGTCCTTCCTGTAGCCCCCCCAATTTCGATTAGATCAGAGAAGTGTGAACAGTGCAAAAATGTCCATTTTAAAGTAGAGTTAGTGATGAAGATGTATTCTCATATTAATGAGGAAAGAAAACTGTACAAGAAGTTGAATTCATTGCTGTTTCCACTTCAGATTTACTCCTTTTTAGGAACCTTCTGGAAACGTGATACTAAAACAAAACAATTCACTGACATCTTTTCACAGTCTAATGTAAAATGCATTCATGTAGACAAAACAAGTTTGTCTTAGGATAAAATGATGAAGTGATGGATATATACATACATACAGTACAGTATAGTGAAAGAAAAGGAAACATGTTATGGAAGAAGATTGAATCTGATATTAGACTGAGCTGTGTGTCTTTGCTGATGATTGTGGCATTGAATGCCACGAAAATGTAACAATTTAGCTATCAGCATGATTAGGATCATTGTTCCTGTTGTTCTTCCTCTGCTCACAGTCTGGAGCTCACACTGACTCTCCACTGTTTCGGCGTTGGCAAGCTCATCGTGACATGTTGTCGTGGACTCAGACAGGGTGAAATAATCCTTGGACCAAATGGTTTTTATCTCGATCAATGTTTTGAATTAACACCTGTGCGGGAATTGTTTCATGATTTGAAAGCCATTCATTTGGTGACATTACTGTAGATGAACCTCTGAATTTATATTTATTTGAATAGTTCATTAATTGCGGATGGACCGACTGGGCCAAATCAGTTTTGTGCCAAAAGCTTTGTATCACTGTGCATTTTACATAAATAAAAAGACTTCATATTTAGTATTAAATTACATAGTTGTGATTAATTGTGTAAGTGCCCAGCCTAACAGATGAGCATTTATACGGCATGCATTCAGTACCGAGTGTAGTATTACTTAACTCCAGTGCACTCAACTCAGATTTCTGCATTTATGTTGCTCTCTAACTTTCCTTTAGCTGAGTGGAGATAAATGCCACGTTTGCTGGCATGGCTGTGGGTGTAATTGTATATTGTCAGCTATCACGACATACAATGCAGAGATTAGGAATGTAGTGAGCAGGAGGCTGTTCTGACTCAGCGCTTTGGAGTTGTCCATTTGTCAGTTACAAACACCCACTTTCTCAGGCACACATGTACAGTATATCACACATATACAGTAGCCACCCGTCCCTGTGCTACCTGGTAAAAGAGCTTTGAGCATCAGTCTGTGGATAAAGTAGTTTAAAAGCTACTCTACCTAATTTATTTTCACTGCTAGAGGGTCTAGTGATACTCAACACAAACAAACCAGAAACCACTCCTTACTGCTCTTTGTGCCACCTGTCCTTTCATAAAACAACATGAACTACGGATGCCTGGTTGTGACAAACTGTACAAAATGCAGCCTCCAGCCTAAAGCTTTAGCTGACTAATGAGTAAATCTGGCAAACCCAGTAGAATGATCTGGCTTCCACTAATGTCAGACAAAGCCCGGATTACTCCCCAAATTCAGATCATATCAATCAATTACAAAGGTTAAATTGCTGTATTTAGCAGACTGTCATGGAGGGTGGAAGTATTGCTAAGAAACTTGATATTCTATCCCATTTTCACTTGGTGTATCAGACAATGTGTATAATAGTGCATGTTAAATAAGTTTCATGTTTGTTTGCATGTTTTAGCTCTAGTGATGTCAGTCAGGTGGTTGGTTGACCAATTAGGTCCACACTGACATATCACAGCAACATGGTCTTCAGAGAATGAAACCTATAGACTACGGTGAGCCTCTGACTTTGCCTCTAGTGCCACCTTGAGATTCTTGGTTGTTAGTGAAATATCTCAACAACTATTGGATGGATTTCCATGAATATATTGCCATACAATGGTTTTACTATTCATACTCTCCTCAGGATGAAGTGTAATAACTTTGGAAATCCTTTGACTCTTCATCTCTGGCCACCATCAGGACCATCAGGACAAAAGTTTAATTTCAGTATTTTGCTGTATGAACAAATATCTGCAAAAATGGTATTCATATCAGCCTTTGTTGTAATGTGTACTTTTTAAAAACTGTTAATTAGCAAATGTTAGTCTGCTAATTAGCACCGTTGCTGTAAAACATCACAGATTCTTTGTCCTGTGTATAATTGCACTCATGTGGAAGCTAATTTTCTGGATATGCAGTGGGAGAGAAGCCTTTTCTTGAGGTGGGGGGACCACAACTTCAGTATCCACTGAGTCATGAGTGACTCACAGGAGCTGCTACAGTTCTGCTATGAATGATGGGAGGATATGGGAGGAACAGCCATATGGCTGCTTTAACCCCTGGTGCAATTATGCAAATGGAATCACTGGACTGCATCCGGCAGTTCAAATCCAGAATGGCAGTTTATTGATCAGGGCACAGAGGAGGAGTAATGATGAGAAAAGGAAAGGGGCAGTGTCTGGTGAAAAGAGAGATGAGGAGAGAGAAAAATATTTAAATATTGCTTTGCGCCCTATTTAATGAGTCTTTTAGAAGCAGGGTTGCAGCAGGCTGATTTGTCCATTTAGTTATTCTCTAAATGATCACAACACATGAAGGAAACCAGTCATATCTCATTTGACTAATTCTCTGAACACAACAGTGTTGCCTGTACTCATTAGTTTGCAAAAATGTATTTTATGTACATTATAGCTAATTATTATTTTATCAAGGATTATTCCACATTGTACTGTCAGTAAAATGTTCTTTGTGCATCCTTTGTAATAAATGGAAATATGAGTAAGTGATAGCATGTGCATGTAAATGAATGGATTACATTCAGTCTGAATATGACATGTATGAGGTGGTTTCTGTTGCCACTGACTCACTTAAAGGCCTGTGATCAAAGCTGTTGAAGATGGCAGAGGTCCTGGAGAGGAAAAACATCATCTGTTCCTTTTACTATCACAAACACTGCCCCCTGGTGGTTGGAAGAGCACATGCATCCAGTGACATGTTCTCAGCTGAGGAAAAGAACCAAGAGATGTTTAAATAATGAAATGCTTTGGTGTTTTGTTTTTTGAATGTGTTTCAGGATTAATACACTGCTTTATTATATTACTGTTTTATTTATTATTTTCATTATAGGTTTATCTACCAATTACTTACTCAATTAATCGTTTGATCTGTAAATGGCAGAAAATAGTGTAAAATGGCCTTTAGTTTTTGACAGACCAGCAACTCAAAAGACAAATAAATGCAGCAAATTTTCATAGTTGAAAAGCTGTACCCTGATCATGTTTGTGTTTATATATCAGTTATATATCACAATATATCACTTGTGGTTGCTGTAAAACTTCCAGTTAATCAATGAGTCAACAATAAATTAATTTAACACTACAACAATATGTCAACTCATCATTATTTGATCACACCTACACTCCTGCTAACTGTACTACTGCTACTGAGTTTTAATGCTACTACTACTTCTGCTATCACTAATACTGATATCAGGCCGATCTTTTCTTAGATCATTTTAAAAGTATCCAGCCATTTTCTTCATCTCTCTCCAGAAAGGTCGTCATGAAAAAGTCATATTTTGTATATGGACGTACCTAACTTTTATGGTGGACCTTCTGAACTGTCCTAGCAGGAAAATTCAGTCAGGATGCACAATACCAGGACCCTCAAACTAACTTGTGTAAATGGAAAGCGATCATTATTTAGGTAACTGACTGCATCTGTGCTTTTCCTGCTATGACATGTCCTACATGTCTGCTGTGAAAACGTGATGTACTGACTGAGTGTTGACAACTGACAAACAGGCAGCTGGGCAGAATGACTGGCTCTCACTTTAAACTCAGGCTGGTTTGTGTTGATCATCCATCTCTGTTGCATCATGCTTTGCGCTCTGTTTTTACCATACATTTGTTTTCTGTTCATTTTGTCCATGCTCTGCAGCTGCTGGATGCCAGGAGAACCAAGGTTTGTCCCTATGTTTGCACCACGTGCTGTGTGCACAACATAGAGTCACCTGCAGTGTGGTGTGTATTTTAAGGCACCTGGCAATTCCTTTACACCCTATAACTTCCTCTCCTACAAATCTGAAAGACAGTGCAGTATTTTTAGCAGTTCTGTCTGCCTCCTTGTCCTGTCAGTCCTCCTGTTTCCCAGTAAACACCGTATAACTGTAGAAAGTGAAAGGTTTAAGTACATCAGTCCAAATGCATCTGGTGCTTCATACCCCTGTAGTACCACAAACTCTACAACCCCAAACAGCCTGTAAAGTTGGTTTGATGTCAGTGTAAGAGGCTGTTTCCACTCCTTCAGATTGGTCTACTTTCCGGACATGGATTGATGTTTATCTCCGGAGATATCTGCTGAAAGAAGTGTTCAATCTGACAGAAACTCAGCCCTAACATTGTGCCTATAAACACAAAGCCAACAGCCCTGGAGACAGTAGCATATATTAGACTTAATAGTGTGTGTTTTTAAAGTGTTGTAGTTTATTCTGGACACACACAAAGTCACAGACATCCACATGATTATGAATTTCATATTTTGACCGATCGACATCCACCCATAATTACAGCAAGATAAGTAAATAATAAATAAATAAGTAAATGATCATACACAGTATTTACCTGTACTGTACCTGATGAGCAGACCACTTTTTCTTTGAACTGGCTGCAACCTCAGAGTTTTGATGCACAATATTCAGGCTTCTCAAGCTAAGTGTCAGAGAACAAAGACCTCTGCTTTGCTGCAGGAAACATTGGGCTGGTCGTGTGCTTTGATTAGCAAGTTAACAACCAATCAATCAATTAATTCTGTTAATATGTATCACAACAGTGCAACCTTTTGCAGCACACTAAAAATGAATCTCTCTGACTGCTGTAATGAATCTATTTCCTCAATAAATACAATTGTTACTGTCATTCCAAAAGACTCACATTTGATTATTGCTCCAGAATATAGAAAACAACTTTTCCCCAAATAAGCCACACTGCCATTTAATAATATCAGTTATTTTGTGGTCTGTTTGTTTCTAAAGATATCCCAAGGTAAGTCATGTGTTCTGCATGTTTCAACTGCTGTAACATTCTTCCACAGAACCTTGTGCAGCATTTCACAAGTGTGTTTGTGTGTGGTTTCCTTCATGTGTAGTCTTACCATTAAAAACTTTACATTGTATGTTATTCCTAAAATTAATTTCAATAACTGTTGAGTCTCTCTGTGTGTATACGTGTTTGGGTGTGTGTTCATCAGCACCTCCAGATGACCATCCAAGCTCTGCAGGATGAGCTGCGCACACAGCGAGACCTGAACCACCTGCTGCAGCAAGAGAGTGGTAACCGTTCTGGCTCTGAGCACTTCACCACCATCGAGCTGACAGAGGAAAACTTCCGTCGGTTGCAGGCCGAACACGACAGGCAGGCCAAGGGGCTCTTCCTGCCGGGAAAAACACTGGAAATTGAGACCCAGAAACAGACACTGGGTGCTAGAGATGAGTCCATTAAGAAGTTGCTGGAGATGTTACAGAGCAAAGGGCTTCCCCCGGGGCCAGGCAGAGCATCTGAGGAGGAAGAGCAAGAGAGAGCCAGACGTATTGCTGAGGCAGAAGCCCAGCTGGGACACCTAGAGGTCATTCTGGATCAAAAGGAGAAGGAGAACATTCATCTGCGAGAGGTATTCTACTATCAAGGCTGTGGTGATAATATACGAGGTCCTCTGTGTAAAAGTGAATATGGACTGTTTTATATTTTCCTGTCACTAGAGGGCAGTACCGAGCCTCACAAACTCAATATGCTTCATACCCTGCTGCTTAAATTGAAGCATATTGATTATGCAATGTATAACCTGAAAACTGCAGAGCACACGTTGTACAAAACATTCTCCATGTATAAAAATGCATTTAAAAAAAAAAGTTTTGTCAAATAATTCACTAGAGATCACAACAGATTCTGCTGTACAGGTGCCATGTAATGCTGTGTTTTTTCTGTAAGGAATTGCACAGAAGAAATCAGCTGCATCAAGATCCAAGCAAAACCAAGGCACTGCAGACCATCATAGAGATGAAAGTAAGACCCTGACTCACAATATACAGCCACAGTATACAGCTGTTGTTGCTTTATCCAGCTGCAGTCAGGTTCATTTATTATTTTTGATGTGAAGGTTCCCCCAGCTAGTCATGGACAGTCTAAGATTGTATATTTACTGACATTCACAAACCTTGTATTGTATTAGGCACCACACATCTTAAGTGGGGACTACTGATGTGTGTTCTACTGACTCTTGTTGTCACTGTGATACACAGCAGCTGAATCAGTATTCGATACTGACACATCTCTGTCTCTCACACAGTCTTGCAGACATACTCTGTATCAGCTCACAAAGCAGCTGTGTAAACACAAACAAAAATCAGTATTACAACATTTTAGCTGTTGTGGCTTATTGAAGAGGCACAGCAGCCAGTCATAGCTGGTTTCATGACAAGTGAAAACATAGTTAGTCTCAATAAGTATGTCTTCAACATCACTCACTGTGGGTTTATCATGTCAGTCTCATTTTGTGTAGGTTCAATTTTAAATTTTACTATTTAAAAGTTTCTAAAGATACAAAATGTGTCATGCGTAATAACAGCAAAATGTGTATCAAATGATGCACCGCATATGTAAAATTAGATTTCTATTTATTCTTGAAATGACATTTTGGATTTTAATAATTCACTTAAGAAAAGTAGTAACTGTATGTTATATAGCTAATATTTTATGAAACCTTCCAGCTTCAGGTGAAATTTTAAAAGAACATTTACTTTTTGAAACGTGTTTTACATTAAAAAGATGGACTTGCAGGTTTATATCACTATCACCATCAGATGTGATTGGTATTACTAGTTTTTGGCTCCAGCTTATTTAATTTTGCATTCATCCATATCCCATTCTGCAAGGCCAATGCAGCTCTAATATACAAATAGCTTATTCTATTCCAAATGTAATATAGTCTATTCAAATCAGTGCTTGTTGTACTGTACAGCAGCTGGATCAGGGCCATTTAGCTACTGAACTGCTGTAGACACTGCCAGCTTCACTGCAGAGGCTTGACATCACTTCCTCAAAATAAATCATGACATCATTGCCGAGCTGACACAGCCCCTCTCACTTGGCTAGCTCGGCACTGAGCCTGTGCAGGTCCCCGCCCCCCACCCCCACTCACCACGGTCATGTGACATCCATGCCCTGGGATCCTGGTGATTTGCATACAGAGCAAGGGAAGACCCGCCTCCTCCTCCTCCTGTGCTGTGTAGGAAGACCCTTCCCTCTCCTCTTGCCCTCTGCTGTGCTGATGCTGATGGAAGCACGAATAACCCTCCCTCCCTCGCTCCCTTATGTTCCTCCCGCCCTCTCCTCTTCACTCACCAGAGACAGTGCACAGTATATAGCCTGCCTGCTGCTACCATGGAAACAGGTGTGGTTGTTTATGACAGTGAGAGACCAGTATGCAGAGAGGTGGAAAGACACAGAGTCAGGGAAAAGAGAGAGTAGGATTTACTGGCCAGGTCGATGTAACAGTGATTACATGTGGACGGAATAAAATCTCCCTCCTTTGAAGGTACGCGTTTTGTGTCTATTTCAGCGATGTTAGTTCATTGGTGTTCGTCTCGTAACACTGAGACTGAGGTGAGATGCAGTAGCAGGGAGAAGTGCATGTACATGTACATTGCTCATGCATTGATGTTAACCCCTCAGATCCTTCTCAGCTGTGCATCATTCTTCATTAAGATACATCACCCATGTTCCTCTGCAGTGGGCTGTGACTGACCCTGCCACAAGTTGAAGTTTAGAGCCACTAGGAGTAAAGAATTAAGAGACACAATAAGAGAGAAATACAAGAAGGAGCAAGGTTGCTCTGTGCTCTGCTGGAGAGGGAGATGGACCATGGCTAATCTTAAAGACACTGTATTATTTATTTAAATAGCCATGAAGCTGAAGCTGCACTCGTAGTCGCAGTTCAGAGAGTGGATTCTGTATTGATCTGCAAGCAACTACAGCAAAAGCTGCATTTTGTTACTTTGCCACCACACATTTCTTTCCGGTCTTGGCTGACCTCTCCATGCTGGATGCGTGCTCATTATTTCCCAATGGTGATTAATCCAGTGAGCTGCTGCAAGGAGCTGGGTAGAGAGCTTCTGACTTCATTGACAGATACTGCAGTTGCTCTCAGCCACACCGAGAGCTTATTCCACTTTCTCTGTATCTTGCTGTATTTCTTGATTTGACACTTTCTGTCTTTTAGCCCCTTTAAGTTGTTTTTTTTTTTTGCTTTCAGTCTGTCCTGGGGTCTTGCAGCTCTAGTTCATGTGTTTTTTGCAGCATGCAACTTGTGGGCCTGCCAGTCTGGGTTTTGAGGTGTGTTTCCTCTGCGTGTTTGTGTGCAGGACACCAAAATTGCCTCTCTGGAGCGCAACATCCGAGATCTGGAGGATGAGATCCAAATGCTGAAGGCAAACGGCTTACTGAACACAGAGGACAGAGAGGAGGAGATCAAACAGATGGAGGTCTACAAGAACCACTCTAAGTTTATGAAGACCAAGGTAGGCACTATCTGCGTTATTCACGTAGTTGTAGAAACACGGATCTTGAGAAAATATGGCTGGAAAACACAATGTAGTTGTTCAGGGTACAGAGAAGAGAATACTAAATGAAGCTGATGTGTCACTTAAATTAGCCGCTTTATCATTAAGCGTCATCAACAAAGTGCCCTGTTGGCAGCAGCCTGAGAGATTCTTCTCTGCTGTTTATTGAGAAGAGCTCAGGGTCAAGATTACCACAAATGGCAAAACCAGCAAGTACACACGTTGGTATAGTACAAACCTCTCTTCCTTAATTACATATAGGAGATTATTACTTTACTTATCTGATGTACATTATGTTAAAAGTGTAATCCTGCCCATATAGTCACTGACTAGTTTTTATTAAACCAGCTTTAGCTGCTTTAGTTTTCAGACCTGTCCGACACTCTATGGTAGGACATGATACCTGTGTGTTTTTGGCTGTTGTGCGTCAATACGTAGAGTGTCCAAGCATATGTAGCCTCCTGAAATCTGAGATTGTGTAAAGGTGTGTGTGTCTGTCTCTGTCTGGGGCTGATTTGTCTCTCCAGAGCTCTGTCTCTGTGTTTACACACCGCTCATGAAGTATTTTGATGAGAAGCAGACCAGCCACAGTTTTGTTATTCTATTTTTAAACCGCTTTTCATCAGTCATGAATAGAGATGATGTTTAATATATGATGAATGCAGGGGAGTCCGTCCCAAATGCATTTCAAAAAGAAGGAAAGCGTGTTGATGGAAACAGTGAGGAGGTTGTACTGTCTAAAAAGAGTTTTCCCTCTCTTTCTCTGTCACACACACACACACACACACACACACACACACACACACACACACCATGATGGTAAAATGTCACTTCAGCTTGTTGTCTGTTTCATGCGGTGCACAGATCGACCAGCTGAAGCAGGAATTGTCAAAGAAAGAGTCGGAGCTGCTGGCTTTGCAGACAAAACTAGAGACCCTCAACAACCAGAACTCAGACTGCAAACAGCATATCGAGGTGCTCAAAGAGTCTCTCACTGCCAAGGAGCAACGTGCTGCCATCTTGCAGACAGAGGTAATGAAAAACCCTTAACTTGTTTGTACACATACAGTAAATCAACCTAACAATAGGCTGCCTCACAAACATTTTTATCCTCCCAGTCAAACTGAGCAAATAATAGGCTTGCTCTGAGCCTGTGGCTTATTACTGCAAATCATATCAGCACATTATTTACTTTGGGGACTAACTGAGCTGTGACTCAGGGCGCTACCAAAGAAACAGTAATTCACAATCCACTGTCACAGCACATCTACTAAACATCCAACACATGAAAAAAGCTGCTGTAATAGATAAGTGATTGTAGCAGCATTACAGTTAGTGTAACACACTAACTGCAGCTCACCACACTGATAAATACTGAAGATTAAATGAAGACAAATAACTACTTGAAAGCACTTTCAGTGCTCTCTACAGTTTATTTAAAAATAAATCACTTTTGCAAATGTATTGTATTTAATAACTCTCATAAAACATATTACTCAATTACAGTCAAATTTACCTTTAATAAAGCTCTTTTATTTTAAGCAGCCTCACCATACGGACTTCCTCTACGGTTTTTATCTGTTGTGCTTCAGGTGGATGCTCTGCGTCTGCGCCTGGAGGAGAAAGAGTCCTTCCTGAACAAGAAAACCAAGCAGCTGCAGGACCTGACTGAGGAGAAGGGCACTCTTGCCGGAGAAATCAGGGACATGAAGGACATGTTAGAGGTCAAAGAAAGGAAGATCAATGTCCTGCAAAAAAAGGTGAGAGTTGGAGGTGAAGAAAACTTTACAATTTGATGGATGGTTCTGACTTACAAAAGCAAGTTGGAAGGTGGGAATATGCACAGAGGAAAATGTTAGAATATATGTCCAAACCATTCAAAAGTTACTGTTGGAGTAAATATTACATTATCTATGGGTTAAAACAAACTATGGTGTTTATGTGCTGAAGGTGTCCTCCAGTTTGAAATGATGAGGGGAGTGCATACTGGAGTAAACTGGTCACTCTGTGGACATACAAAGCAGAGTGGTTACTCTCTCCATTAAGAGTGAGAGAGTCTCTGTTGCTGTCCAGGGGAATGTGTCCATGGAAAGACAAGCAAGAAGATATTTCTGCCTCACTGACTCTAGTGTTGTGTGTATGTGTGCGTGAGTGTGCTATAAATACTTACAGTGTTACTCTCTCTCTCTCACCATGACCTGCTCACCCATTCCCTTTGCTTTTTTTCCTCGCTTGTGCTATCACACCTCCTCTCCCCCATTGATCCACTTTTATCTCTCTTTGTCACCTCTTGTGATTTCAAAGTCCTTTTTTGTCCTGAAGTGCTTATTTACCATTCATATACAGAAGGTAGTAAATTAAATCAGCGCATATATATTAGTGTCTCTAAATAGTTTTTACAGTTAGCTTTTTCTTAATGTGCACTACTTTATTGCTCACCACTGATAGCAGGATTTGCATTGTGGTCTATTATTCTACTTCTCCAGACAGGTTTTGATGTCTTTTGTTCTGAAATGAATTCCAAAATCCAAAACATTTATAAGTCCGGCTATTACAGCATCTTTACTCACAGTACTGTTCTGTTTTTGAGATCATGCTAGTTACCTCTGTTTTTCCTCCTCCCTTGTTCTGTCACCTTCCTGCTGGTCTCCTCCCTCCTGCCTGAGTCAGATTGAGAACCTGCAGGAGCAGCTGCGGGACAAAGACAAGCAGCTGGGGAACCTGAAGGACAGGGTGAAGTCTCTGCAGACTGACTCCAGTAACACTGACACTGCCCTGGCCACACTGGAGGAAGCGTTGTCAGAGAAGGTAGCAAAGTGAAGACAAAGCATGACTGAGATACGTGGTTGAGATTTGAATAGCTGTTGCAACAGTGCTGCAAGTTATTTGTCCTCTTTGGGAGTGATTTCATTTATTTAAATGCTGAAAGTGAAATTTTGGAAATTAAGAATAAAGCTATATATTATATTTCTTGTGATTTAAAAATGCTCTTAAAATGAAGAGATCTCCAGAGGTCCAGATTACTGCTTGCTTTAAGTAGGAGAAAGTTGCTTGATTAATGTTCTTATTCCTCACCATCAGTGAAGAACTTCTTCATTCCTAACATTCTCAGGTTTAATTCACAATATGATAAATATGGGCTCTGGTTACTCAGTCATTCAACACACTTTTAATTCAGTTTTTGTATGTGTGTGCTAGGAGAGGATTATAGAACGTTTAAAGGACCAAAGGGAGAGAGAAGACAGAGAACGCCTGGAAGAAGTGGAGTCCTATAAGAAGGAGAACAAGGATCTGAAGGAGAAGGTCAACAGTCTGCAGATAGAGTTAACAGAGAAAGAGGTCAGTGAGTGTGCATGGAGTGGAGAGATTTTCTTAGCATGTCAGGGCACAGGGGTGTGTCCATATGACTGCATATTGTGCACATGTGCCTTTATGTTTTTCTACTCTGCTATACTGTAAAGCATGCATCACACCACTTCG